ACAAACTCGTGCAACATGTACACACAATTTAAAACTGATTTTTCTTTCTCTCTCTCTCTCTCTCTGTCTTTTTGAACTGTGTGCCTCATTTTACAGTCAGCAGAGCATCTGGGCTCTTGGGGTTACTTGGGGGCATAGTGACAAATCACGGCATAAGCCAACACACACACACACACACTCTCACGCACATGTTCACAGCCCAAGCTCACAACCAGCCGGTTTCTGATCCAGCCGAGTCTAGCTTAAACTGACGTGGAGACTGTAAAGATCCGCTCAGTCTGTGCTTTATATGTGAGCCGCACCAAGTGCGAGGAGGACAAGTTTATCAGAAGAACAAAACGAAGGAGGAAGAGTGCGAGTTGAGGGAGTGAGCGGCGTGTTATTGATGAGCTCGCTCCACCCCGGCACCCTGACGATCCCCAGCCTCCTCCAGGGGCCGTAAACCAGAAATTGAGTTTTTAACAGCATTCCGGCTGCCTGCTAGACTCCTATGGTGTACTTTATAACACACACACACACACACACACTGTTCCTCCACACACTCAAATTCACAAGAGTACTTGAATGCTTCTATACTAAACTCCCCTCTGGCTGTAAGAGAAAACTTCCTAAAGTCACCTTGAAGATCACCAAACTCTTTCCTACACTCACACTCGCACTCAGTGGCCTCTCCTCCTGGGTGTTGACTGAGAAGCACATTCAGCTCTGATCGGCTGTGGTGAGGGCCGGGCATAAACATCCAGCGGTTTGTTTTTTAATACCGACTGTGTCTGTGGTGATTCATCACGGCGAGAGACCGAATCCCATTTGATGTGTTTGTACGAGTGCAGCAGTAATTAACTCCGAGGCTGCGCTTCTTGTGGGAGGTGCTGGCAGAAGAGAGAGAAGGCACGCAGCAGGCCGGAACAAAACATCCCTGCAAATCCTCGCGACTGGCAGCGTAATAAATTAAACAGCGAAATCATTTGTCATGCTCTGGTGTGTTTGTGTAGCTCGAGTATTGAATAGGAGGGTCCTTTTTTTTCACAGCGTTACCTCCTTAATGTACCCAGAGAAAGGTGGTCACTTTTTTTTCTTTTTTTTATTTGCAAGAAAAGTCCCATGATCCTCGAGGTGAGGCGGTGGCCTGGTTACCTGCGCCGTGAGCGTTTGTTCCAATCAGGACTCTCATTGGACAATGGGTTTTTGTTTTTTTTGTTCCCACCCACTTTCACGAGTCACCTCCTCTGTCCCGAGTGGTGCTGTGGCTGTTCTAAATCTCCTCTTCTCCTCCGCCCTCACCTGTCCAGGATCACACACTCGCTCACCCCGTCCCCCCTCGTTGGAACTCCGGCGGTCCTTGAGCGTGTCCAACCTTCAGCTTCTTCAGCTGTGATTCAACTCACTGGTTTTGTGTCTGCACAGTGGTGCTTGGGACTCACCGCCCAAATCTGCTTCTTAGCTCTGCAATGAACAGGAAAGGCCTGAGATGTAAAAATAAAATAAAATAAATGAAGGTATACTGTAGCAAGAGGGAGGATGTCAACGAGATGTGGCCGTGAGCATCGCTGCAGTGCCAGGGAGGAGGCTGAAGGGGAAGTCAGTGTGTCTTGTCCGAAATGCTTTTGGTATTTTCGATAACCGCGAGAGTTCCCAAGAGCATCTTCACTGAACTGTGTGTCTGATGTTAACACTCATCCACCAACTGACAGCAAAAACATATGTCTCTCCTTGCACTTTAGAGAAACTGGAATGATTTTGTTGAATGCGCACTCAGGATGAACCAGTCCTGTGTTTTTACACTCCTGAAATAAGAACATCGTCGTACGTTTCTGTGAAAATCAGTTAGTATTGAAGTACTTCAGCTCAGTCCACACTTACTGTAGGAGAGTGAAATGGTTAAAATGTAGATGGCAACAGTTTAACTGAAGCACTAACGGGAGCCGTGTATTTCCTGTGTAATTTCATGGAGAGAGGCTGCGGCGGGCTGTTTCTTGTGCTTAATGACACTGGCATGTTGATGTACGACATCGTGGCGAAAAGCCCGGCTCCATTCCCCGGCTCATTTCCACACATGGTTAACTCTTTCCTCCAGCATCTGAGTGGCCGGTGTACTGAAGCCTCCTCCACGGGGAGTTTGGTCTGACTGATTACAGCCGCGCTGCAGTAGCCGCACCGCGTCTGAGCAGACGATACTTTAATGTGGAACACGAGGGGTTAGTCGGACGGTTCTCTGTGAAGTTACTTTGTGGGTAAATGTCTTTGCTCCCACACCTCCTTTTTTTTTTTTTTTTTTCTTCAGTCACCAAAGGGCAAGCAATTATTGCTTTAACCTTTTTATTAGCCTTTCTCCAAGTTGAGTTTGACTTCAGCCGTCCGCTGCCTCCCATGAGCTCTGTTGCTGTTCCCACTATAGCTGGTGCGAAGTTGAGGCTCTGTGTGTCTTTCCTATGAAATGAAAGCAAATGTAGGTTTTGTTTTTTTTAAAGTATCCTTGAGGCCCATCATCACCAGTGTTGCCACACAGAAAACACAAACCAGGCACATGTCCTTATCTATTACTGCTGGGTTTGACCCAGTTCGTCACATTCGCCGTAACGTTGTTATTGGGACAGCCTCGGACATTTCTATCTGTTGGGGACAGTAAACAGCCACTGGTCAAAGGCTCAGACAGTGTTTTGCAACTTATTCAAGAAAGCCAGAAATCGAACCGTTCTGTTTGATCAGGACTCTAAAAGGGACATACCATAAAAGTCTCGTATATAAAATATACCGCTCCCCATCCGAGTATCTCCACCCACGACATGAGAACTACGTTTGCAAAGGTGCACCATATATCTTCCAAAAGCCAATCGGAGCGTCGGGCTATTTTGGGAGGGGGGCCTTAACGAGACAGGATGAATACAGGTATATTCAGACAGACAGTATGTGAAAAATAATATTTTTTCTGTTCTAGTAGAAACCCAAAAACCGAGCACGATATGTCACCTTCAACTTTGATTCTCAAATGATTTCTGTTGTCCGACCGTGCTTTCAGCATTTATGAAATACAGCCAAAACACAGCATCACTTTGGTCTACTGAAAGTAATTCACAAAGTTATTAAATCTATTAAGACATTTCTGTTAATATCATAACCTCCAAAGCCCAGAATGAGGACTGAATGCTTTGGAACAACCTGGTTTCCTGGTCCTCCCTAATATTATCTGCCATGCTTGAGATTTTTTAGTCCCGATAGAGTTTGTCGTTTGCGTGTTTTTGGTTCGGTTACTTGTTTGCTTTAAATGCTGTGAAGCACTTTGTTATGTTATTTTGAAAAGAGCTTTATTAATAAAGATTGACTCTCCAGTTTGTAAAGTTTGTGCTCGGAGTCTGCAGCACCTCACTAGCAGAAGGACTTCATGTTCAGCACCCACCATCTGAAATGTACCCACGTACATGCTCATTGGTCACACTCTGGTTTTCTGGTGAAGCGCCCCCACAGTTTCAGCGCCGCGTCCGTCTGTCCTCCTCTGCAGTGGACCGGCGGACCCAGAGAGCGGCGCCAGCACCAAAGACTCGGGCGACAGCGGCGTTGGCACGGTAACGAGTGAGACGTGACAGCAGCGATGGCGAATGCTTCGATGGAGAAAAGCGCCACAGTCAGCATTTTCTCTCGTCCTCCTCTAACCTCCAGCGATGGAGAGCATGTTGAGGGGGGGGGCTTGTTTGCCGTGTGGGTAAACATTCATTTACCTCCAGCAGTCAAACGTGAAGTTAATCAGAGTGATTATGCGTCATAATAATCAGCGTCCTTTTTTCCCCGGCCTCCCCGTTCGCTCGCGCGTCGTACCGTAGATGCACTTCCTCCTCGCTGCCATCTGGAGACTTCGGCGTCGTCTGCGCGCGCTCTCGCACCACCATCTTGCTTATTAACATACATTAAACCACATTGCCTTTACACACTTCATCATTTCTGTAAGCACCAGTGGGTCTCTGCTCATGCTGCAGAGGCCTGAGCTCAGCAGCACTGTCCTGCCGCAGGGCATCAGGAAGACTTTATTTTATGAGCAGTTAGTCATTTCTCTTTTATTATGAACATACTGATTGATGTTGTCTGCCTTTTTTTTTTTTTCTTAAGAGTCTGATATAAAGGCAAAGACGCTACGGTCAAGATATACTGATGAGGGTTATCAGATGGGAATCAAATGATTAACAGTTTTATTTACTTTAACTTTCTCTGGAGGTGAACAAAAACTAAATCCAGACACAACCTGTTCCATCCCAAAGCAAATGTAACTGGTTTCAAGGAGAGAGAAAAAACACAAAGTTGATTTTATAATTTATTGACAACACCAATGACACTGTTACTTTAGGTGCCAAGCTGTTAAAGGAAATCACTGAGCCTTCTTTAAAAATACAACTCTACATATGTGACCTGTTTTTAATCATTTCAGTAGGAGTCATCGGGCTTGGAGCTTTTGTTTTTACCTCTAGCAGACAGTGTCGGGATTTGTACTGCACATATCTTTTTCTGTCCTGTGAACCATCTGCAGTGCATACGATCAGATTGTAGTTTGATCTTGAGACATGAAAACAGGTACAGTATGTCTTTATATGGCATGTATTAATCATATCAACGACTTGTTTATCCCCAGTCCGAGGTCTTCTGGTTGCCCCCCCCCCCCCACAGACTACCGCCACCTGCTGGTATGGAGAGTTATTTCCTGTCATGCAGGCGCTGAGCGTACATGCTAGTTGGCCGTTGGCTGTGGTCTTTGCAGTGTGTTCAAGTGCAACTTTATGGCCAAGACACGTGAGACGACGCTAGTCCTTTGATGACTGTCTGGTGTGTCAGGGACTTTGTTTGCAGGCAATCATTTTGAGTCTATCTTTGTGGAAACTCCACAATTTCATTCCAAATAAAACCTGCCACAGTTGCGTTTTTCATCCTCACACCTTCACACACACACAGGGAAGAGCTCTCCTGTCTCCAAAGTGAATCAAACCATGTACTGATGCTAGTATTTCTCCTTTCCTCAGGGGAGGAGCTCCGGGGAAAGATCACCGTGCGGAAAAACAAGAAGGACCCTCGCTCACTGTGGGTCACCTTTGACCTCGGAGACAGGAAGCAGACTTACTGCATGCAGTAACGTCAGCCATTGCGTGATAGAACATCCAGCAAACATATTCCACTTTTTAATTGACCGGTCATGTATACACTTGATTTTGATGTTTGGAATGTTCGGATTGTTTCTGTGCCTTGTAATAATAAAGACATAACGTTAAACATAAAGATTTTCTCCTTGTGAGTGTGTTTAATTAAGCAAAAGTCAACATGATTAGACTTGAATAGGATCGTTTGTAGATGTCTAAGTTACAGGTAATCGTTGTTTGAAGGCAGTCAAATTACGATGTGAAGCAACTGCATAGAAATGTCAATTTTATTTTTATAGCCCAATATCACCAATCATAAATTGACCTCAGGGGGTTTTACAATCTGTACAGCCCACGACAACCTCTTTCCTCTCTGACCCTCGCTTCTATGCCACATATGCAACCTAGATGTCTGGAAATCCTTAACTTTTAAATCCAGTTACGCCCAGTTTTATCATTAAATGTCTTTTAGACCTGCAAATTACAAAAAAAAAACACATTTACCTAGTCGGCCGGACCATGTTCATCGTGCACCATTACGCTCGTGCGTCTCCCGTCTGATCAAAATGTCCAACAAAAGAAAAAACACTTGGAGGACCTGGCTGCCAGCTCTCCTTTTTAAAGAGATTGTGTGCTTTTGCAAAGTATTTCTCTTAATGTCCCTCCATATCCTCATCCTTATTGTCCCACTTTGAACTGCGTGATATCTCACCGGGGACGACATCCATCTTCCATGAGTTTACTGGGACAATGCAAAATTAATTTTAAGCCTTAAAAAGGCTGACTGAAGCCTCTTTACATGCTTCATTAAGCAGCTCTGGTTACAATTAAAGTTTTTTCTTTCTTCCTTCTCTGTCTGAGATGATGAAAGAGTAGTGGTCTGTGAGGAGGAGGAGGAGGAGGAGGAAGAGCAGGCTGAGGGGCTCACTGTCTTATTGGTGATTTGACAGTCGCCTCCTCTGATGTATTTCTACAGCTTCTGTGTCCTCTACTTTTACATTAATACAGTCTGCTCTGACAACAAACGGGGCGTATTCTCACAGGAACAGCCTTTTTCCGTACTGATTTTGTGGCGCTTGAAGCTTTTAAAAGTGCTTTTGAGAAGCTGCCTTTGTTCAGAATGCAGATGTTATTTATGGTCATTGTCTAACAGGCAGCCTTCCATTTACTGAGGCACTTAGTGAAAGACTCGATTTTATTATTCTATCTATTTTCATGAATAGTCGATTTTGGTCTATATATGGACATTTATTGTTCATATAAAAAGTCAAAATACATGCAGCATTTTTGTGTTTTTTTTAGCTTTGCATTCTAGTTTCTCAAACAGACACTTTGTGTTTAGATGCAACATTTATTTAGTGCGTTTCTTTGGGGGGGGGGACATGTTGGCTTACTGCCTGAACATCTCCTGACACGTTGTGTTGTAAATTGAGAACAAAAAACACCTTAAAGGGATTCGCTTCATGTTCTAGTTTAAAACGAAAATCCTCAAATCCCCCGAACCTAAAGTGTGAGGCTCCGTCAGCCAGGACTGATGATGATGAGGGTAATGATGATGATGATGAGCCGTGGGCCCCTGGGTGACCTCCTCACGCTGAATCACTGCTTTCCAGTCGATTCAGATGGATGCGGCTTCTTATCACTCGGGCGACAGTGGGAGTGATCAATTAATTACACGAGCTCGTGTAAATAACGAGCACGAGGAGAAACCCCTCCGCGTTAGTTCGGCTCGCTGATCAGGGCTTAGTCTCCAAATAAAAAAAAATGAGAAGGATTACAGATGGGAAACTAGAATCATGAAACCAGTAGAGCCTTGTTAAAAACATTCTTTTTTTTTTTTACAACCGTTGTTTTTCGACATTCTGCTGCAGAGACAGACACGTGAGCTTGATTTAGCTGCACGTGTGTAAAGCTCTGCAAAACCATGTTTTGTTACTTCTTACACTTAAAATCCTCGTGAGAAACCAAACTAGGTGTGCGTGCGTGTGTGTGTGTGTGTGTGTGCGCGCGCGTGCGTGTGTTCAGAGGACTCTGGAAGACGAGCATAAATCAATTACAATTATTCTCTGTTGACAATGTAATTAAACTGGAGGCGGCGGCTAATACTCCCGCTTCAGCCTCTTATCTGGCGCGGACGGAGCGCAGCGGCGCATAGTGAGTGAAGGACGGCCCCGAGTGGGACTCTGCGTGTCCCGGTGTAACCACAGCTGATCCCAGCAGGGACACTGCCTCCAACACCCCTCGGCTGTCGCGAAATCAGCGCAGGTTAAAAACAATCAATTAAAAAAGCAGGACAATCAGTAGCAGACAAGTGCATTGGCCACTTTAATTCAATGAGCCTTCAGAAAAACGCAGATGAGGATTTGGATGAAACATTAGCCTATATTAATTAAAGTTGTTTGTTAGTTTATTACACAGACCCATTGGGTTTGTGATGGTGCATTAATATGATACAGATATTTTAAAAATAGTATCTGTATTTAATGAGATATTTATCCTGTCTTGTAGCATATGCTTTAAATGGCATAAAATAATTCTAATTATTTTAGATAATAAATATGAAAACACCAATTAAATAATCTAATGGTAATATAATATTACGAAAATTATGACATTATTACTATTATTATTTGCCCACCTATTTGTTTCGCTGATGGCCCGTAACATTAGCTAGCTAAACAGCGTGGTTGCTAAGCAACTAACGGTCTGTCTTCGCTGAAACTCGTTCATAATTGGAGGTCTGAGATTAGCGTCCAGTGTTGACTCAGCCAATCAGAGACGGCCGGAGCTATTTCGCTTTATTAAGCAAAAATATTTTAATGTTGCCGCAAAGTGTCAAGATTAAACACTTAACACGAAGTCTATTTTCCCTTACGTGTGTTTTTAATGCAGGCCAATGTAGCTACTCCTTATTGAGGCCTTAACTGTTTATAACGAACGTTTTTAAAATTATCCTCAATTGATGAGACAAACGAGGTCGCTTTGTGTCTTTTTTAGTATTTTGGTAAATCACACTCAGGACTTTCATACCCGTTTAAAAGGGAGACTTGGAGGATGGTATATGCGCAATGCAGTGTTTTAGAATCTATGGCACCTTTTTTCTTCTCCCCTCCACTGTCACTGCTTCCAGTCCAGCTCCAGTGGTTCCTCCTGACACACGTGATTTAAGGAGAAAAAAAGAGGCCTCGTCTCTTGCGTAAAACTTTAACAAATGAGTAGCTTCATAAAGCCCTCGCCCACTTTTCTTTTTCACTTCAATCAATGCTCCTGTCGGTGACGCACGTAGAGCCTGGAGCGTGTACCGTACGTGCGTAAAACCCATGTAAAAACTATTTATAGTTCAGACCACTTATAGCACATGGTCTTTAAATGTCTATTTAACTTCTACAACTTAAATTTTTGTATGCATATTTATGGTATGTTTATGTATAATAATATTTACAAAGAATACCTGCCGTATTTGTAGTATAACTCAAATAAACACGTCTCCAATAATGCACTCTTTGCTTTCCTGTTGTCCCCATTTGCAGGCCTAAATGCTGATGAAGGTGAGGAACAAAGTTTTTCTGCATAAAACCAAGAATCGTGTGCACCGCAAATGCCTCTTTCTGAGTGGCTACTGTAATTGTTACTGTACCAGAGAAACCCGACTCAGTAGCACAGTGCAGACATTATTTAGACCCTGCATGCACCCTGATGCATTAGATCTTCTCCAATAACAGCCTAAACCTGGAAATCTTTATCCCAAACGAGCTGCGTGTGCTCGCGTGGGATGCTTCCGTGTACGTGTGTAAAGCATCCTACACACATCCCCCAGAGATAAGTGTATTAATCAGCGTTGGAGAGCCCGTCCAGCGCTCACGCATGCCGTGCGTAACCACAACGCACACAATTCACGCACGCACGCACACAAACGCCCGACGTCGTCTTGGCTCCGGTTGTCCCTTTAAAATCCGAATCCGAGGCCAATGATTTATCAAACTCCTATTATCAAGAAAATGTCACGCGAAGGGCACCTTGCGCTGCACTGACGCAAGACTCCGGTCTTTCCCACGGAGCTATAGAAGCACTTGGTGCTTTTGCGCGGCGACAACCAGTCCGCTTCCAGTCCTCTCTGCTCGTCTCCTCACAGCTGTTTCCAGCCTGCCAGCAGACACCTGCAAAAAAACATGGTAAGTGTCCGAAAACACTTTCTTTGCTTTTCCACCTGCACTTGCATCTGTTTAGTGGACTTGTTCTGAGCTGATTTCATGTTAATTTGACACTTTTCTTTAAAAAAACAGTTTGGCACGTTGCGGTTATTGTGCTGTTCTTGGTGCTGAAATGCAGCTGCGGCTCAACATTAAACTTAACATGAACTTTTTTTTCTCCACTTGCTTCTGTCACCAAATTGGCTGGTTTTATATATTTTAAAATTCTGAATTCTGACTTTTAAAAAGTTTTAATTGGGAACAAATGTTTAATTTTAGACCACTTTTCCTACTTTTGGATTATTTGTGTTTTATTTCAGGATAAGCGATTACAACCAGATGTACTCGTTTTTTCTCACAACACAACGATGCATTGATCAATCAACATCTTTTTTTAAATAGACCCACATCCCACTTTTTTTTTTTAGAACCTGGATGCTTTTCCGGTTGCTTTCCCGCCCCCGTCACCGCTAAAATGTCAGGGAGTCATTTGTAATTCCGCCGCCCCGGGTCCGCTCGCTGCTGTAACGCCGGTGATCTTGCATGCCTGCCGGGGAGAGCGGAGCCACAGAGAGACCCGCAGCAGCTTGCCTATTGCCCATAAAATCAGTGGATGTGTGTGGCTGAATGACATGAGGGGGGAAATGGGGCGTAAAATTAAAGAATCTTGCAGAAAGCGAGAACTGGAGAAGCAAAGCAACCCCCCCCCCCCCCCCTCTCCTTCCCTTCCTCCAACACACACACGCACAGTCTACCCCCCGGTAGACTGAGCTGAAACTATAGAGCAGCCAGAGCCAGAACATGCTGCAGAATAAAGACAATTGAGCATTTTTTTAGTCCCATAGATGGGCTGCAGCGGCCTCGCGGCTTCATGGTTTTCTGCCGTTCTGCTGCATTGTGTCTCGCTGATCTTTCGCTCCCATGTTCCAGGATTTCTCTGACCAGAGAGAAATGGCCAAACAGCCGGCCGGCGCGAGCGCTCCAGCCGGCTACATCCCGACGCAGCAGCCCGATGGAGCTGCGGGATTTACAGCAAACAAACCGGACAACACCGCCGCGTGCCCGCCGGCCGCCCCCCACCACCACCCGGCGCCGCAGCCTCCGCCTCCGTGCAACGAGAGCAAAACTTTTTCGAACACGGAAAATAAACCGGGAGAACTGGACAGCAATAAAGCGTACGGGACGTTTAAAAGCCCCGCGCCGGGGGCCCCTGCATCCGTGGCCGTCAACTCGGCCTTCAGGAAGGATTCCGCCGGTTCGGCCCTCGGAGGGTCCGCCCAGTACGGCGACCCGCTCCGGGCCGCCGCGGAGCAGAACAACACCGCGGGCAACTGGACGGCTATGAGCCAGACCACCATCGTACTGGGAACAGATGGGAACACGTCTGTTCAGCCTGGCGCCGTGGCGGGGGTAAGTCAGCTTAAATGAACCGTTTCCTTAACGAAGAGCGGCTGGTCTGAGAGCGGAGCGGCTGGAAGCAGGTGCGGATGTTTCCGCGTGTCGCTGACTGGATTAACCCCAAAACAGGGAAGGTGCAAACCCCTTCGGGGAGCTCTCAGATCAGGGCTGCTGATGTGTGATGGAGTGAAAGAGGGGGGATCCAGAGTCTGTGGTGCTGAGCTGTAATGTGAATCCCTTAAGAAAAATGTGCAGGCTGGTTTTGTGTGTTTTGTGCACAGATGTGCTTAAAAAGTGTTGCAGCTCGACAACTTCCGAGCTGAATCAGCAGAAGCTTGTGGGCTGACAATCGGATCAATCATGAGGCCATAGACTAGACCGATCGTTCATTATGGTGGTTTTTAAACTAAATGTTATTTAACAATCCGAGAAAAGACAATAAGTGATTTGATTATTTTCTTCCCTGTTGTAATTCAGGCTGTATTAATATTCCCACACAGCAGAGCTTCTGTGTACATGTGGGTGGACCCTGAGCTATTTGGCGTCCCTGCTGCGGTCCTCTGCACCATTGTGATCATGCAGGGATCAAAACTTTCAAACCCGCTTATGTCAGCTAAATATTCGGAAACCAAACGAGCAAATGAAACCGTGTGGTGGATGATCAGATCAGCAGTTAGTGCAGAGGGAACCACACTACCAGTGTTTTTTTTTTTTAAGATATAAACCGATTTCCGGTGATTTGTTCTGCCTGATTTTTGATCACAGTTACAATGGTACCACGATTTGTGATAAAGGGGAATCAATTACGCTCTCGCGGTGTTTTTCGGTGTCCCCCTGCGCCCAGAGACACACTTGGTATGGCCCAGAAGCCCAGGTGTTACCCGGCAGACAGCACTGTAGTACATGAGACTGCGGATTGTTTCCAATCCCCCGCGAGGGCAGCCCCCCCCCCCCCCCCCCCCCGCCCCCCCCCCCCCCCCCCCCCCACACACACACACTCACACACCCACCCCTCACACATTCTCACACGTACTGACGCACACGCACGCAAACACACACTCACACACACATATTCCCATGCATGGTGTTGTTTATGCATCTGAATATTCGTGCAGTTTCTTTTATGAATCTGCTCAGATCCCGCGGTGCAGCTGTGGGCTAATTGTGCATTTCTGTTCGTATTTGCTCACATTATATTAGTGGACCATTCACAGTTTTTTTTAATCATTACATCTTAGATTTAGGAGGTGCTTTCAAGCGAGTTTGTGGCAGTAATGGGCCTATTGAAGAGGAGTTTAATATACAGGCTTGTCATCGGAAAGCTGGTGCTGATCTCTGATTGTCAAACACATCTGTAACTGAGAACGAAATTATCATTATGGAGACAGACAGAAATATTTTGTGAGGGGAAAAAAAAAAGGAAACTGCACCCAAAAACGTTTCTGTTCTCTGATGGGATACATTTGTATTTTTCAAAAAAGGAAATGTTTCTTTTGTTAGTAAAATGTTTGTGTGCTTTTTCTCAAAAGAGTTGCATATTGTTGGTGGTTGTTGACTAAAGAATAGGTTCAGATTTCGTTATTAAATCCTTTCAGACCCAGACGCAGTGCTTTTATTAGTATTTGTTTAATGGTTAAACTTGGAGTGTGGGACAAGGCTATAGGTTTATTTTGGAGCATAAATATTTTTGTTTCCTCTTAGACTGACGATGATGACGAGAGTGGAGATGAGAATAAGGTCAGAGGAAACTGGTCCAATAAAATGGATTTTATTCTGTCCATGGTTGGCTACGCGGTGGGACTGGGGAACGTGTGGAGGTTCCCTTATCTTGCCTTCCAAAATGGTGGAGGTAAGAGTTTTAGGTCAATGCTTTTTAAACACGGAAACAAACCACAAATTCAGCTCAGAAAATGCAAATTGTTACCTGGTTTTAAGTCAGGCAGGGTTTGAATTATTTCCTATTGTGTTTTAGATGTTTCCTCCAATAGTAGGCCTTTAACCACGATAAATTAGTACACAAAAAATGATAAATAAATAAAAAATCGGTTGTACAGGTGAGATTTTGTTCAGTGATTATTTCCATATGCAAAAAACAAAAAAAAGGAATAAAATGCACCACAATAATATAAATTTAACATAAAAACAGCTGTATACTATTAGTAATTCATAATAAAGTTCCTTAGATATGTTACAACAGTCATTATTATTATTAGTGTTAATGCACTAATTTGTTCAGCTATGCCTGAAGCCATTTACAGCTCATGTATGTGTTTAATCATTAATAAATGTAGCTAATGATCCACACTGTGTGCGTTGTTTAAACATAAACAGATGAGACGCAGACACCTGCAGCTTTTTCATGTGCGCTGATATTTCAGGCTTTTCCTGCCTCTTAAAGTGCGCTCTGTCAGCCTGCTGTTTCGCTTCCTTGCAGGAGCCTTTTTGATCCCCTACCTGATGATGCTGGGCATCGCCGGGATCCCCATCTTTTTGATGGAGGTGTCCCTGGGCCAGTTTGCCAGCCAGGGGCCCGTGTCCGTGTGGAAGTGCATCCCAGCTCTGCAAGGTAAACTGCCACAAGTAAAAAAAAAACAAACAAAAAAAAAACGAACATTCAAAAATAAACCTCATATATTATCATCACGAGTTCTCTACTTTTCTTAAGAGTAATTTATATATTTCGTCTCATTTATTTATTTTAGGTTGCGGGATTGCCATGTTGATAATATCTGTCTTGATAGCCATATACTATAATATTATAATGTGCTGGACACTGTACTACCTGTTCGCTTCGTTGAAGGGCTCACTGCCATGGGCTAACTGTAGGAATGAGTGGAACACGGTGGAATGTAAGGACAAAGACATGCTGCTGTTAGGTAAGACGCACACCTTCTCACACACACACACACACACACACACACACACACACACACACACACAC